TTCCGGGCCTTTTCCAAGGTTAATCTTTGAAGATCAGGCACACCCTCTCTCTCTCTCTCTCTCTCTCTCTCTCTCTCTCTCACACACACACACACACACACACACTGGGCTTAAGACCATAGTGGACCACAAAGATAAACCAACAAACATATGTGTTGACAACGACGAGTATGCAAATAAACGAAATGCCTTTTTCTCCCGTTTTGACTAAGGCAGTCCGTCTGACTTGCCATGTGTGAACACCGACACAAAAGAAAATAATGCTGTTGCTGTTGAAGAACGTGAGGTTAGATGTGTGTTTGGACGTGTGAATGTGAGAAAGGCGTGTGGTCCAGACTATGTGCAACCCAAAATTCTGAAAATGTGTTCAGCACAACTTGGTTTTATTTACACCTATTTTATCAACCAGTCGTTGTTGACACATTCTGTTCCCACTATTTGGAAATGTTCTGAAATCGTCCCCCTTCCAAAGAAAGAAAAAGTTACTGAAATGAATGACCTAAGGCCAATAGTCTTAACATCGGTAGTTATAAAATGTCTAGAAAAAAATGTGCTAAAAAGACTACGGACGTACATAGAACCCATCCAGGACCCTCTACAATTTGCATGTCGCCACGGGAGAAGTGTGGAAGACACCATTTTACTATAATTTCTTGACAACATATATAGACACTTAGACAAGCCAAAAACATACTGTACGATCCTGTTTGTTGATTTTTCGTCAGCCTTTAATACTATCCAGCCAGCTATCCTTTTAAAGAAACTAGAAAATATAGGTGTTAATGTCTATTTATTATCATGGATAGGCAATTTTCTTACCAACCGAACCCACTACGTAAAATTAAAACATTCTTTATCGACATACATCACAACAAAAACAGGGGCCCCTCAAGGATGTGTTTTGTCACCAGTTCTATTCACACTATACACGAACGATTGCCAAATAAACAACAGTAACATCAAGTTGATAAAATTTGCAGATGATTCAACCATAATTGGGCTAATTCAGGCTGGCCATAACGAAACCGCTTACCGGAATTTTGTACTTAACTTTTCTAAATGGTGTGAAAATCATAAGCTGCTTATAAATATGGAAAAAAAAAACCCAAAAGAACTTGTTGTTGATTTTAGAATAAAGAAACTGCCCCTGGAGCCACTCGAAATTAAAAGTGAAAACATCGAGCAAGTGTCAGACTTAAAGTATTTGGTTGTTACAATAGACAACAAACTCAACTGGTGTGTCCACACTTCTCTCCTGTATAAAAAAGTGAACAAAAGACGATTTTGGAAGCTAAAGTATTTTAAAGTTGATAAAACATTGATGTCCATATCTACGATTCAACCATAGAAAGTATAATCAATTTTTGTATAACAGCATGGGCCGGGAACACAAGACAACACGATAAAGAAAAATTAAATTGACTAATACGGAAAGCATGTACAATTTCAACACCAACATTCCCCTACTTGGATGAATTGTACATAACAGCTTGCACTAAAAAAAGTTAATTCCATCTTTTTAGACAACAAACATCCCTTGTTCCCTCAAATAAAAAAAAATGTCAGAAATAAAAGACCTAGGCTTCTGATCTGTAATAAAGAAAGATACAGAAGGTCATTTTTACCATCATCTATCAAAATGCTTCCATCTTAACCATCTTGTAAAAGTATACTTTCGACCATAGAGCATGCATCAAAATAACATTGAGTGTGTATCTAGCTTACGATTATTATTGTTTATAATGCTGCTCATTTATATTATGCATGTCGTGATTGTAAGCCTATGTGTGTGCGCGCGTGTGTGTGTGTGTGTGTGTGTGTGTGTGTGTGTGTATGCGTGTGTGTACATGTGGTGAAACACCAAACCAATGTGCCAGGATCTGGACTATAAAGATGTATCTCATCTTATCTTATCTTACACACTCACACTCTCTCGCTCTCTCTCTCTCTCCTCTCTCTTTGTCTCTCTATATAAATAGAAGTCTCATTAAGTAAGGAAGTTTATTCAGTGCTATAGGACATGGAACCAAAACTCATCATTATAAAACTCTTTTGTTAAATAAATCTTCCATAATGAAAAGGTACAGGTTGTGCAACCATCCCTTATTATGGGTCAAACTTTGTAAAATGTTGTCACTGGGGCGAGTCAGGCTTGGAAAAATTAATAATTTCCTTTGATGGACAAAATTTGAACACTGGAAAATAAAGTGAAATTCATCTTCAATTTCACGAGTTACACCTCTCACATAAGCACGAATTTATTATTTTCCACCATTCATTATCCAGTGCCAGATCTGCGACAGACATCGGCGGTCGTGGTTCTCAATTCATTCCTTTGCTCGGATGCTCTTGAAAAAAACTACGTTTAGCTGATCTTTCCCCGTTACCCATTTGTTTAGATTCCCTAAGTAAGTTGCTGTAGGCCTACCCCTGCCTCTTTTGCCTTCACTTTTGCCTGTGAGAGCTAGATGTTCAAGACCTTTATGTTTATTCAGGTGTCCCAAAAGCTGCATTTGTTGTTTCCTAATGGTTTTTAACAGTGAGCGTCCCATGTCCCATCATCAAGTACTGTCTCGTTTGATTTCTTTTCCCTCCACAATATCCTCAGTAATCTCATTTTTTTTAAACGGCATTTCTGTTGCTTCTATTTTACTTTCACTGTCTTTTATGAATGTCTAGCATTCACAGCCATATAGCAAGTTTGACTATACTTATCATTTCAGAACTTTCTGTTTTGATAATCAATGAGATGTTTCAATTTTTCAGGATTATTAGGCTCATTTTATTGAAACTACCCTTAGCCATTGCAATTCTCCGTTTTCCACCCTTAAAGCTATATACCAGTGAAGGAGGTTGGGGTTCACCAGGTAGCAGAGGTAAAATCTGCACCAAAGAAAATGGCCACGAAATTTGGTGTTCTTGGAAACTACAAATTTGCATTTTTGATGTGCCTTTGCTCTAAGTTTATATAAAAAATCTACTTAGAAGTATGCTTTTGAAAGTTCATGAAAATTGTAAGAATCGATATAAATTGCACAAAGATGTTGAAAAATATCGGTTTCTTTGAGAGAGAGAGAGAGAGAGAGAGAGAGAGAGAGAGAGAGAGAGAGAGAGAGAGAGAGAGAGAGAGAGGCGTTTGTCTTTGTCAAGCGATCATTATATGAGACGGGAAACGGTTAAAAGGATAATCAACTCAATAAGAGCTTAGATCTCGATTTCCGAAGCCACATAACCGATTTCCTTTAACAAGTCTAAAATTTTCGGTGAAATTAAACCTCAGCACCCCTTTTCAAGCTCAATTTGGACTAACGTGTCCTAGTACAGTA